CTGGAATCAGCTGCCAGTTTGTTAATCTAATAGCAAGTGTTCTTAATCTAAATGGTTTATATGGAAACTTAATATTGATTAAATGAAGTTTGTACTTATTTATTAGGTACTTTCTATCCTTTTCAGGTCTTATATATTTTATCCACACTTACAAATTTTATATCCCATTTTTCTTCTCTTTTCAGCAGTATGTTTCCCATTGTGTAGTTGCTTCTTTTATCTCCAGCAGTAAAAATAATTGGAAACATATTCAATTTAGAGAACTGTGGTTGATGGTGTTGTCAAATGATCATGCCTCCTTAGAATTGGGGTATGCTGATCTAATGGGATACGGCTATCACAAGTCCCCCCAACTTAACTCTGCAGTGGTGTAAAATTTTATTTTTAATTTATTGTTTATGATTTCTACCTAATGGTAGAAAAGGTTGCCATATTTAGTTGTTCTTTAGCTTGTCCTGTGATATCTCCATTGCTCTAACTTAAAACAAAATCCCATTTACAGTTGAAACTCATTCTCAAGTGCTTCCCAATCTTCTCCAATTGGATTATTCCCTAGTTCTAGAAAGTTATTCATATTCCCAAATATGCTGTTAATAGGTTGCTGTCTGCTTTTTGCTGTTGTCTTCTCATTCCTATCTTAGTGCTATTTTCAAATTCTCCCCTTCCCCACCAGTTCCTCTATTCTCTAGTGTCTGTTAAATTGGCAGTGAGCTATCTCTGGATCTATAATCCCTCCAGGATGCCTATATAAAGTGGCCCATGCCATTTCTTCTGTTGTAGGGTACAGGAGTACCAGTAGGTGCAATTACTGTGCCCTTCAAAAGGACCTTTAGGAGATTTTCACAAAATGCCTTGGAGCTGAAGGAAGCTAGCAAGGGGAAAGTCTGCACGCTTTTCATCCTTAAAAACATCCTATTTTACAGAGATCTAAATTCAATCAAGATATAGTATATGAAAATCACAGATTCAATTGAAAAAAAGAGAATGAAAAGAAAAAGAGTATAGCTTCTTGCTATTCTGTTTCCTTATATCCATATCCTTTGCCAGACACCAAACTGTGAGCTGTCACCTCTTGAAATTTAAGCTGGACCATGATTTCTCCATGGATGGGGACATTATTCCCATTGACAATGCTATTGTCAGATTAGTACTGTGATCTTCATATTGCTGTTCTTTCAGAAGTTCATGTTGGAATCTGAACCCTTCAAGTGGTGGTGTTAGGTGGGGCCTTTGTGGGGTGGGAAAGTCATGGGGGGCACAGAGGCCTTAGGAATGGGATCCATGACACCTCTTAATGGGCCTGAGAGAAACTTTCACCCCTTCTGCCTAAGTACACAACAAGAAAGCACCATTTTTAAACCAGAGAGCAAGCCCTCACCTGACACCGAATCTGCTGGTGTCTTGATCTTAGATCTGAGCCTCTAAATCATGCTGAAGTCATCTGTGCTAAAATAAGCAGCCCAGCTTGCAGCATTTTGTTTTAGCATCCTGAACAGACTGACTGCCAGACTCTCAAATTTTGAAATGAAAGCAAACTGTGAGCCTCTCCTATAACCAGATTTCTTTCTCATCACTAATTACCCCAAGTTTGTTTGCTTGGGCTTGGATATTATTATTATTTTTTTCATCTGTGGTGATCAGGTGGTGTTGGTGTTGGTATTGGAACTGAAGTTAGGAAATGTGTCTCCGAGCTTTCATTTTTCTCTCAGACTTTTCTTCTAAGTACATCTTGTATTCAAACTCTGAAGTCAATAATAGAACTTTGTTTCCTGGGTTGTTTCTGATTTACAACAAGCAAACAAAGTCATCAGTCAAGTGACCACTATTTTTTAAAAGTTCACACCTGGGAAATCTGGTGGGACTGGGACAGATGCATTATAGATAAGCATAGGAAAATACATTAGCTGATGTTGAGTTATTACACTAAAGCAATGATTTTCTAAAGTATAATAGACTACTGTGTAATTCTTTATCATGTCTTAGATGTGTCAGCTTAACATAGTTGATAAAAAATCACTAAGAGATTTATTTTGTTACACTTGACATCAGTTAAGTTCAATGAGGGTATATCTAACAGCAGATTTTTTTGAAATTTGTGAATTGATTTTGTGAGTGGCTTTTTACTTGGTGATTGGGGAAGTGTGGCTAGTGGCCTAGTGCTATATCTGCAACTGACAGAACCACACAGTGTTTATGCTGTAGTTAAGGCGACAAACTGATAGAACACCTCTTTATAAATCTGTGTCTGCCGCTCCAGGTTTGTAAAGCTTTCCCTAGTTTTAGCTCTCTTAGAAAAATATACATTATCGGAGCAACACTGGGAGCATTACATGAGCCATCTCATGTAAAAATCCTAGCACAATGCCAAGCATCTCCAAATTCAAAGACTGTTTTCTAGCATTGTCTCGTTTGGTATTCATTTTGCTTTCTAATAAAAACTCTAACAGACTTAAGAATATAGCTGAATCTGGATTCTAACACAAGAAAAGCAAACTTGAGTCATCTGACAGCCGATGGAAGTCTCGGTGTGTTATGACCTAGTTTTATGTAAGTTTGATTTGCATTGGAGGACCAAGGAAGCCCAAATCAGAGTAAAGTTTGCAGCAGATTTTGTTCTGGCAACAACAGTTTGAGGTATACCACATGAACATGGACCACATAAAGATCATGACTAACAATTTTGTCTCTTTTCATTTTATCTGGGGAAAACTAAATAAATGTCTGACTCTTAAGGATCCTGATCTGCCATCAATAATTGTCCTCAGGAGAAAAATTACACTTCTGTTTTTCTGGAGGGACATATTAGGATCTTTTGCTATTGCTCATTCTTGTTCATTATGCTTATTTTGAAATTTATAGAAAATAATGCCTGGTAATTAAAGAAAAGATTTTTTTTTTAATATCCTACCACCAAGGGAAAGCTATACCATCAGGAACCAATAATTATTCAATACTGGTAAGGCCATAGATGAATTGGCAGATGAATTGCTTTTATATAATTTTACTTTGGAGGAATACAAAGACATGGAAACAAACATTGAAGAGATGAATTTATAATGAGAGAATGACTTCTGTTATTCTAGTTGAAAAATATGAATCCATATTAAGTGATTCCATACTTGCTATGGAAAAAAACTAACATGATTCTGAAGGAGTCATATGTCTTTGCACATCAAACTAGGGATTGCCTTTATTCAAGAAGAAGAAAAAAATTCAAACCACTTGATGATTACAACAATATTCATGACTTGCAGTGCTGACATTCTGTAGATTGATGCAGTACTCAACTGTGGGAATACTGAGTCACACAAAAGATGAGAAGTATTAATAATGAGAAAAATATTTATGTAGTCAGCAAATTGTCAGTCAAAGTGGCTTAGATTATAGAGTCACCCCACAGAGACTATGTCAGGTTGCAAATTATTCTACCCACAAAATTATCTGAAAATGAGTAAAGCAAATTCGAATGTCATGATACAACCCTGATGCTTTTATTTCTCCCTTCCCTCGCCTCTTTTATCCTCCTCTTCTTTGAAATGGGGTAAATATTAATTCTGCGTCCAAGGAAAGTGGTAATAAACTCAGTAAAAGAATGCTGAGACAATTCTTAATACACTAGAGCTCCGCAGCGTCTAGACTGAGACTTCCAGTTTGGAGGTGCTTTTTGTACTCTTTTATTTGTACTCTGTGTTGTCGTCTTTGAACATCTTCCCAAATCTACATTTGGTGTTTACCTGTTTTTATAATGATATCCATTTAATAAAATTCTTCAACAGGTAGAGAGGGACAAGAAATACTCTTTGGTAACAATCAAAATTTAATACTATCCAGGGTCATTTTTTTAAATGCTGGTATCCAGCCTGGACATACATTTTTAAACTCAGTCAGGAAAATAGCCTGCGATCCTGCACCCATACATTAGTGCGCTCTTTCTACCCACTTATTTCAAAGGCTTCACTTCGCATTTTGGATTTGGTTCTAAAGGACTCAAGAGTGTATTCAGGGTGTTCACATACCCAGGAAATATGCCTCAAATAGAAAAATAAAACAAACTGGAAGAAGTGATAGATATCATAACTGATTGTAGTAACTTTTTCACTATACACACACATATTTCAGTATACACCTTAAATATGAACATGTGTATTTGTGAGTTACAGTGTAATAAAGCAGGAAAAATGCACACAAACAGAACAAAAATAACTTCAGGTTGATGTGAAGGGAAGGTGCTGTGCTAATTTCCCGTATCAGAAATTAGTCAAAAGATTGTATTCAATCCAAGTCGGATTTTCTATAAATCTTTATTTTAAAGATTTTCTATAAATCTTTTAAAGTATACTTCCTTTTTAACATATCAGTTAGAATTAACCTGTGTTCATTTGTTTGTTGTCACTGTTTTTAATTTAATTCCATTTTACTTGCTTGCTGGGTTCTGTGAACTTCTCTAAACCATGGTAAATTCATTCTGGGAAATGATGTAATAAAAATAAGTAAATTAATAAATAGAATATAGGTTCATTCTATTCACTATGGCTAACTATTTTACTGATAATACTAAACTGCATTTTAGCCGTATTTAATCACGCCCTATGATTTTTAATAATCCCATTCCAAAAAGTAAATTTCAAAAGAGTTGAGCTTTAATTAGTCTACAAGCAATTGCTCAAAAGCCCCCAAATTGGTTATGCCTTTTCTTTCCTTTCAGTAACAACTCCTTTCGAGGCTACAGTGAAAGTTTAAAATTTCATTGTACTTATTATGCAACCGTACTCGAAGTAAATAAAAGCAGAGCAAAGAGTTTTTACTACATAAATAGCACGTTCTAATATAGAGCTCTATTCACACGTGCATTCCTTAGTCTTTCGAGAGACTATATTGTCCTTAAATTGTTTCTCAGGACTGCTTAGATTTGAGTTTCTGTACCTTATACTTTGCAGATTATGAACATTTACGTGTGCATATGGATTACTGTTGTTCATATTTACCATTTTCTTCTTCAGGTCTACAGCATCAAGACAAGAGCAAAGAATCAGCTTGGTACTGAAGCACCGCATTCGCGGGTCAACTTGCAGCCTGCATCTAAGGGCCACTAGGAAAATAAGCCGTTGGGACTTTCCATCTGGCAATGGGACATTGGAAACAAGGACAGAGAAGAGGAAGTGTCAGTTCATTGGCTTTAGCTTTGAACCTTTCCTAGTGAAAGCAGAGTGGGTCTTAGTCAATGAAGAAAAACGTTTTGTTTGTTTTCCCTCATCTGAGCCTTTGTCAGCCATGCAACTCCTGTTTTTACTTTCTTAATTTTACTAGTACCTGGATTAGTTTGTTTCTTCTTTTTCTTTTTCTTTTTCCTTTTTTCACCAGCCACCTTGTCAGGAAAAGATGAACCACAAATGAAAACACTCATTCTTTCAGGAGAACAATTGTAGCTCTATGTGCATCTATTTTTGTAGAAATACGGAAAGTTTGGTTTAGCATGGAGGGGATATTTTTGAGGGATGTATTTTTTAAAAATATTGTAAAAATTGTTGAGTTCTGTTTAAAGAACTTGCTTTCAGAGAAGCACTGGCAAAAATGTTTAAAATGCGGATCTTTAAAATGTCTGTGGTGCACTTGTGTCTGTGCTTTCTAGGGTACCTCAAGTGTTTGATAGTTTATCCTTTTTACAGTAGTAGCGTTACCATAGACAAACCAATGCAGTATTGCTTTTGCATTAAATCTCAGTGAAGATGTAATTCCATGCTAGCTCACTTAATTTTCAGTTATGAATTTGTAGGTTTGAAAGGGACTTTATTTTTTAAGGGTCACACAAAAAGAAAATCCTTTTCATGGCTTTGATTTCTCCCAAAGAGTAATTGAAGGCTGATTAACAAAGTGTGCCTAAACTTTGAGGCAGAAATTGTGCCCAATGAATAATGACTCTCACTCTAGTCCAGTCAAATTTAGTAAATAGAACTAGAGTTTATGCACAATTTCTATACTGGTAGAAATGCTTTTAACCTTGTCACCTGTAGATGCAAGTGGTTAATTTTCCTGATTTCTAATTATTCATTCATGGCAAGTTCAAAAGTCATATTTTGAATAATTTTATTTCCTGGCGAGAATTCAAAGGAATGATACCAGGAAAGGAAGACGACACATTATAAAACCCTGATTTATTCTATGTGTAATATTTTAATTGGAACATTTTGCAAGATTTTAAGTGCAATTTAATCTCTCTCAAATATTGGAGCAAAACAAAATTTATACTGCAATTGTAGGAACTGGGATAAAAATTGAAAATCTGAGAACTGAACTTCACATATACTGTGACATATAAATTAATCTTTGGATTATCGTAAAGGAACAATTAGAGAAAGTTTAGGGTCATGAAGTTAGCAGTTAATGACAATTTCAGGATTCAAAGGCAGAGTCCATTCCTTCTGTCAGTTATTCTCATCCATTAGTTACACAGAAAGTTGGCACAGTGTAGATGCTTTTATTGATAGAGTTTTTCTAATTTCTCCCATCTCTCTCCACCTACAGGAAAGGGAATGTCCAAGAAAACACTAGTTTCCATCTTTAATTTTATACATCATGGCTATGAATATTCTACACGTTGACAATAAAACAAGCACAGTTAGAATTCTTGCAGTTCATTTCCACATATCTCACTTGGCTATGTTTTATGCATTAGAGTCCTTTTTGGCTGTGTTTTGCCTTATAAACCTGTGCCCTCTCTTGTATGTGCATACTCTATCTTTTCTTCTTAGCTTTATTTTCTTTAACATAGTATACACATTTTTACTAATGTAGAGTCTAGACTTGAAATATCTTCCAATCACCAATGATACAAATTTAAATTTCTAGAGAGTGGCCTCATTAAATTATAACATGTTGATCTAGACTTTGAATTGATAAAATTGTTTTATTACTTGCCCAACTATGTGGATTATAGAATTGAATGAATCTATGAAGTTGGTTTTGTTTTGAATCCTTCTGAGTTTTTAAATTCATGTACACAGAAATTCCCAAGAGAAGAGTCAGTGGGTGTTATTTACGTCGTCTTTCCTTGGAACCTATTACCTTCCATATCTCTTATAATAGTACCACACTTCCAACTCATTGAGGTCATTCAATTGGGTTTTCCCAATTAAGACGAAGATAACAGGTATTACCTCGTTGTTTCTTTCCTTTTTCACTTCCAAATTGAATTGAAGAAGAGAGAGCAGATAATTCAGTGGTTTTGGCCCATATTTAGAATTTGCTTCTTCTCCTAATAAGTATGGACAAAACATATATTGGTTTTTTTTTTTTTTGGCTCTGGAGGCCTAAGAAAAGTGAAGAATCTGTATTCTGTTATATACAGCAAAGATGAGAGTGCTCCCTCTGTGCCCAGATATCATTGGTACATTGTCACCAAAGGAGTGGATCCAAATCTAGTGGAGAGAGAGGGAACACATCTCTGTAACTGTCTAGCATCCCTCAAAAATTGTCATATTACCCTAACCACCAGAAATAATAGAGAGGAGAAATTATAATTTTATATAATAATTTGAAATTACTTCATATATAAAATGATATTACCCTCTGGATCTGTATTTCTCACATTACAGTATGCAGTTGGCCCTATAGGTTTCCAACCTGCATTTTTGAAGGTTACCACCTGCGCTGTGACTTCGCTGGAACCACTCCACCTTTGACTGTCTTACAAGTTAACCTTCATTCAGGCTATCTGAAGATCTGTAGACACTGGAAAATCTTATTTATTCTAAATGCAATCTATATTTCCATCAATGAACTATCTAGACTGAGAAGCATAACATGGGCTATTTAGAATGCTAAAAGTATATTTGATCCTATTTTATTAATTTCTAGAGAGCATTGAAACATTTTAATAATCAAATGAATGTGCTTTCTTAAGAAGGTTAGCCATCCTTCTATTTTCCAACTTCTTTTTTCTCCATTTCTTCTTAAGATTATTTATCTTATCTTAACCCACCACCCCTAAATGGCCATTAGTGTTCTAAAATTTATAAAATTTACCTGGTGGACTACAAAAACAATGAAGAATACATTTCCTCAACTTTATGACATTAAAAAATATTCTAAACACTAGCATAAAAGATTCCCATAGGAGCTCATTATTTATTTTCAAACAGTGTTTACCCATTTCTAAGGCTGGCTGAATATGGGACAGAAACTAGCCTTTATGCTCACTATCTAACTGTATTTTGATGTTATAATTTAAAGCGGCAGTCAGAGTGTGTAGTTTTAAACATTGTATTCCATCCCTTACTGAGTGTCCTTGTGTGAAATGGTATTTGATGAATTAAGTAAGCAGGAGCAGTGGCAGTAAGGGGTGGAAAAGTAAGGTGCATATGTTCAAGGTTTGACTGGGAAATGAACAGGGAACAGAATGATTTAATGGAAACATCATCATTCTGGGAATTCTTTCTTATCCACAATTTATTGTGTGATTTGGAACTTCATTTATTTACCTCATGACTAAAATGGGTTACTACTAACTAATAGGCAGGCTGTGAAAGTTAGAAATCATGTATAGATGGATGACTCAGTTCACAGTATAGATATTCAAATGAATGCCATCTACCACAAATGTCCATCTTTTCAGCAAGTTAAATTGAGCTCCTAAATAAGCCTCCTCTTCACACAGCATATTCATTCTACAGCAACCAAATAGACACACTATTGCTTTTCTTAAGAGCTCATCGCAAGGAGAATCTTTCTCTCCTACTAGGTACAAGAGACAGAAGGTAAAATTCTTAATTAACTCTGTCTTTTTACTGTGCCATTTCTGAATGAAAGTTAATTAAATTTCTAGTCATATGTAGGCTGAACTCAGAGTTGTATCATCCACAAGTCTATTCCTGCCTCCAAAATGAAAAGGGTCATGCCATTAAACCACCTGTTTATATTTTTCAGTTATATTTTGGACTTTTTGGCACCTGGAATAAGAATGTTTCTTTTGAATTATCCACTTTTTTTTTTTTTAACTTGCCTTGGAGGAAAATTTGCTCAGTATGGTGGAAACAAAATCTCCTGCATGGAAAGGGGAGGGGGAAGCAACCCTTTTACCATCATAGTCAGCGGATTTACTCTACTTGAGAAAAAAATAAAACAACTTTATTAGAAGCAGATGTTGACACTGTGTCTGTTATTGAGGATGGAAAGACTTCACTCAATTGTTACAGTTACAAAAGGGTATTGATGGCAGTTAGGATTCCTATGACGGATTACCTTCCTAGCTGTGGGAAGACAGAAGAAACTTCACGGGACCTAAAGCAAAGTGAGCCTGCAAATTTAAATGGACAACATGCCAGGGACTAAGCTTTTCTTTTTCTTTTTCTTTTTCTCCTTCCCTGCAGGTATATCTTTTAGACATAGTCGAGGTTTGAGAAATAAATTGCAGTTAAGTTTCCCAAAACATCTAAAAGTTGAGGAACCCTTTAAATCTATTATTAAAACACTAAAACTTTTATTAAAATGGTGTTAGAAACATTAGACTATCATTTTTATCCTGAAATGTACTTGAAGACACAGATATAGATTGTCAAAGAAGAATGGCTCTGGTGGTTGGGGGATGAGTGGCAATTGCAGGGTAATCTCAGTTTCAGTAACTTCAAAAAGCCTAACTGCGGTGGTCTCTTGCTCATGAAGATAGGACTTTTATAATTTTGCAATATATTTTTTTTTCTTTTTGTGCTTTTTAGGGATTTCTAAACTATGTAGTTTATTGTTTAAATTTCTTAATTTCAACTGTGCTCTTTTTTTCTTGAAACTTTTTTGATGAAAAATGTTTAATCAAAAGAATATTCTTGAAGTTTTGTTCAACTTATTTTGATCCAACGAAAATTTCTAAATATATTTAAAATTTCAGGGAATTCTAATAGACTTAAGTGTATTTTACCAATTCATTTCTGTAAGTTAATAAAGACAACTGCTCTTCTAGAAAATGGCACATGATGATCAATTAGTTTCCTTTTGAATAATTTCTGACTACTACACTTTGGCCTACGATCAGTTCTTTTAAACGATTAGATTTTCTTCATTTCTGCCAAAGATGTGAACTTTTGTCTTAATACTAGTAGAGGTGGACATTTTTTCTTTGTTGTGGCTAGAGTCAAATATAATGATATTTTACACATTTAATGTTTAGGTTATATATATTTGGAAATATCCTATCTGATTTACAAACACTATTCCATAGGTTTTTATTAAGGATATACAATGTAAGGAAGCTGTTTATGTGAGTTCTTTTTTATTATTTTAAAGTGAATATATTTAAAGGGAAAATATGGATTCATTTTTGTTTTTATCATGAGCACCTAGATAAGGTGAAATGCTTTTGTAAAGAAAAAGATATACAGCATGGTAAACTTCATATTCATCACTTGATAAGGTAAACTGAAAACTAATAGTAGAAATAGTACCTTACAACACCAACCTACAGTGAAATTTCAGGTTTGCTAATTCTTTGAGAAATCATGCTACCTTGATTTCACATTTCCAGAAAAGGAAATAAACTGATCTTAGTTATTTCATCATTTGTAACTAACGAAAAAATATATTTTTTTTATTTTTTAATCTTTTGGCTTTATAATTGTAAAGTTTTCATCATTTGTAACTAACGAAAAAATATATTTTTTTTTATTTTTTAATCTTTTGGCTTTATAATTGTAAAGTTATGTTTTTTTTTTTTTTGGTCCTTTTTGGGGTTGAGGAAGAGATTTCTAAAATTTCCATTTATTCTTAAAGTGCAAGACTCCAAACTATTGTCAATAATATAAAATGATGAAAGACTTTGTTATAAAACATGTCATTTTCTTTAATCTGTTCAATAAATAATTTAATGTGACTTTAACAATTGCTTTTATGTTTCTAGAAGAGTAACTAAACTTCTTTTTGTTTCCTCTGCATTTAAATGACTTTTTTTAAAATAAAATCTCATCTTAGATTTTCTATGAGGTTAATTTCTAGAGCCAAGGCATTTATATTTTAAAGTTTGGAGTGGACTATAAAACAAATGTTTATGATGGTAGAGCAAGTGAAATGGACTAATTATGTAACAGCAGGAGTCTTGAAAAATTTATTTATTTTATTTATATTTTTATGTGTAAGAGTGTTTTGCCTTGAAGGTAAGTGCACCCATGTCATGTAATGCCTGGGGAGGCCAAAAGAGAGCATTGGATCCCTTTGGAACGGTAATTATGGAAAGTTTTTAGCCAACATTTGGGTGCTGGGAACTGAACTTGGGTCCTCTGCAAAAGCAGCCAGCACTCTTAATCGCTGAGCCATCTCTTTAGCCCCTTGAGAATGTTTTTAATATGGTGCTTCTAAGTTATTCATATGTATTTACTGTTTTGTTTTCACAATGCTTGACATAGTATTTTCTGTAAGCAATATGAAGAGACAAATGAACAAGAGGGAAATAAAAGAAAAAAACCTTTCCTTAATTCCCTCATATGAAAGAAATTACCTTGGAAAGAACTTGAAGAGCTTGTATTTTTAAAGGAAGTTATACATAGTTCTTCAGTCCTTATACAGACTCTCTCTCTATTATTAAGTCATTTTAATATGAATATGTGAGTTTGAAAAACATTCTTTTTTAGAGGGGGGGTCATTTGAGACAGAATATCTCTGTAATCCCAGCTGGACTGGAATTTGACCAGGTTGACCCAGATCACAAAGAAATACACGTTTCTGCCTCTAGAATGCTGGGAGTAAAGGCATGAATCACCATGCCCCACTTGGAAAGCATTCTTAAAAATAAAAATGTCCTCCAGCAATGCAGGTGAAATAATTTGGCATAGCCTTCATTACATTCTGTCATATTTAGTCTGGGGTAGTATATGAGGGGTTTATGGCTGCTGCAAAAAATTACTACAAATATAATGGCTTAATACCAATAGATTATTTTACATTTCTGCACCTGTTAGGTATTTGACACAGATTTTTTTCTTAGCAGGACACAAAGTATAGACTACTCCTTCTTCATATGTTCCAAGGACTATCTATTTCCTTGATGCTTCCTTCCAGTTTCCTTCCAGCTTCCACAGTGTTTCACACATGGACCCCTCTTCCCCTTCAGAGACATCATCTGCACATGGTGTCATTCTCTCATTCCCTCTTCCTCCTTACATAAATTCCCTGTCTTTATTGGCTCTATTTGCATTATTCAGGATGATGTTCATATTTCATAATCATTATCTGCAAAATACTATTTTCATGTAAAATGCCATATGCTCTCAAGTACTATGGGATAGAATGTGTGTTTATCTATCTTTGGGAGTCATTCTACCACAGTTATTGCTGACCTTCAGTGATTAAAAATAGTGATTTTCAGGGCTGGAGGGATGGCTCAGCGGTTAAGAATACTGGCTGTTCTTGCAGAAGACCGAGGTTCAAATTGCAGCACCCACATGGCAGCTAACAACTGTCCATAACTCCAGTTCCAGGGGATCTGACAGCCTCTTCTGTCCTCTGCGGGCATTGCACAACACAGGTGCACTTACCTACATGCAGGCAATACACGCATACACATAAAGTAAAAAATAATAAAATTAAAAAAATAGTGATTGTCATTCTACCACAATTATCACTGGCCTTCAGTGATTAAAAATAATGATTTTTTTTGCAAATCCCATACAATATATTTTGATGGTATTTTTTAATTGGCCTTTATAATCAAAGAAGACTTAATATTTCATCAGAAATAGCAAGACACAATGTTCCTATGGGCATTTGTGTGCTGGAGACTCTTCGCTTTAAATTATTGCACATTAGGGAAATTGCTGTTGCTTCTTCACATGTTTCATGAAGTGTTTTTGGCCTGTTGTGGGGCTGGAGTAACCAAGAGGTTGTGTAATATTTATATAATATAAGAACTCAGAGACATGAAAGTGTAGATTCTGTTTCAGTGAAGTATGTTTCCTCTGGGGACAGTCACCTACCACTGAATTTTTTTTTTGTTTCTTTGGGTGAATTTATGTCCATTCTCTGATGTCCTAAGTCTCTAAGCACCTCATTAGACTAAATAGCCACAGATAACCACATTGGTGTGGTGGGAAAGCCTTAACACTTCTGTCCAAATTGAAATATTCCATCTGCTATCAGTTAAGTAGTGGACAACTGTTACAGAAAAGCAAACATGTTTTGATAAATTTAAGGTGCAAAGTAGGAGTTCATACTATGGAATGCTGCTGATCAATAATGAGCTGCAAGACTGCTGGACACAATACATAAACACCAGTGTTTTACTTTCCATACCAAGTTTGGCTGTGGCTGAATGAAGAACACCAGCATTGATCTTTGCTCTGTGCTTGTACAAGAGACAATTTGCAGAGAGCCAAATATAGCAACAGAGGATTAAATATCTTGCCAAAACATACAAAATCTGTTCCCCCTTAAGCATGACACTCTATACTCTTGTGGATCTTGCTAAAAGGAAAATATAGCTTTAAACTATTCCCATTCCTTCTGTTGAAAGTTTCCTAGCCTTTTTCAAGTGAGTTATGTGTGGTTTTGTGTGTTTTGGGTTTCCAGAAGAAATCATTTACAGGAGAAATCTAAGGCTGTGTATTCTTACTTTTTCTCCCCTCCCCCCTTCTCCTGCCCCACCCCCCAAAACTACACACACTTTTGATGATGTATGTGTTAATGAATTTGGCTATGGTAATCATTATACAATGTGTGCACATGTGTGTGTGTGTGTGTGTGTGTGTGTGTGTATGTGTGTGTGTGTGTGTGTGTTTGTATCAAACTGTGCTATTCATGGGACTGGAGAGATGGTTCGGCCATTAAGAGCACTGATTGCTCTTGCAGAGGACCCTGGATCAATACCCAGCACCCACATAGCAGCTAATGACTGGCCCTAACTCCAGTTCCAGGAAAATCTAACACCCTCTTCTGACTTCTGTTGGCATTGCAGGACATGTTTGCACTTAAATACATGCAGGCAATACACTCATACACCTAAAAAAAAGTATAAAATATTTTCTGAAATCTGTCCTGTGCACACTAAATGCATACAATTTTTATGTTCTCAGTTTTATATCAGTAAAGTTGAGGAACTGTACTAAGTCAAAGATCAGGGATAATGGCAACCAAGAAAATGCCATTTGGCCATTTCAGGACTAATAATGGGTTACAGAATGATGCTCATTTGTGCTTCATTTTGCGTGTAATTTTAGTTCAAAAGAATTAGCTTCAACGAATGAGACATTTTCTCTACGTTTTTTGTTTTAAACCATAGGTGCTTTTACTTTTTAGAATTACCCGGTAAGTAGATGGATCAGTCCAGATTTCTCTACCATGTGACTGAATGACAGGGTATATCTGCTCATCATATATATGTATATGATTTTGAAACAGTTTTGTAAACTTCACCAAGCAATGACTGCTTTACCAGACATCTCCATGGGGGATTTAAACAAGCGCAAGGCTGTTTGGAAATGCTTGGTGTATGTAAATATGCAAAATATGTTGAAGAATGTAACAGAGCTAAACAGCTGCAGGGTGTACTTATTCTTGAGTGGAATATTTTGGTGGTAGTGGTGATTAAGTTTTCCATCTTTGCTTACACCCTCCCTTCTTGGACCTTCTGAAAGCACACATTTAACATGCCCCCCCCCCTTACATGCTGTTTCCAAGAGGATCATTTCTGGAGATTCCCACTGGAAAAGGTGGGTGGTGCCTTGAAAGAATGTTTCTGAGTTAAGCTGTGCTATAAAGGCTGCTCTTTGGGGAACTTGCTTGGGCTTGCTTTGATACCAGGCCCACACATAGCCCAGACTCTCCACAGGCCAGATTCCATTAACGCTTGTCATGGCAAGGAGTGGATGAAAAAGTCCTCTTGTGAGTGGTCTTCCAGTGACGATGGTCCTAAAGATGACAAAATAATTAAGTGTGTTATGTTCTGCAACAGCAAGCCCTCAGTTGTTTAGGAAAAAAAAAAATCATATGCCTTTCTCCTGAGAATCCAAAGAAGAAAGGAAGGCAGAGTCTCTTCTTCAAGGTTTTTTTTCTAGCTGAAGGAGTGTAAGGGAAAAGGCAGGAAATGTGAAGAGGGACAGGCTTGACCCCAGGATTAAAGATATGCACTTATCTCAACAAATTCTCAAAGATGGCAATATGGAGATTGTAATCTGTTATCAAAATAAAATGGAGATTTGAACTTTGACAGTGAAACTTAGAATCTTTATGTTCTTGGACAATTTCCTTAACTTTTTAGAATTCTCAATGTGCTCATCTGGAAAATAAAGATATTAAAGCTGACTACCTCATAGAATGTATTTCACCTATCACCGAGTGAATACAGCTTCTGTCTTTTCATTATCTTATCTTTGTGTAAATGATCAAACTAGAATTTCAAGAACACTATTCTACCACCATTAGCTTTTGCTATTGTCATGTCTAAATGTCTTTGCTGTGAGAAAGTTTTAATAATCTCATTGCAAGTTAGGATAAATGAAACAATAGTAAGTACTAAAAATGACTATAGAGAGGGTACTTCGCGGCACTCAAAAAGAATAATCTGGCTTTTTCGAGTCACATAAATTTATGACAGACTTTGGAACTGTAGCGCATTATTTCCAGTTTGTAGATGCAGAACCAATTCATTCAATATTCTGATCTGAAGGACTGTGTTGTTTTTCTCACAGAGCCAGACTCAAATTTCATTAAATAGTAAGGGGTTAGAAATATAACAATTTTTGTTGGAATATTATTTTTTGTTTGGAATTGTCAATTCCTGATCTCTTTAACTGATGAACTTCTGCCAGTTAAAATAACAAAATTACATTTTAATCCTTATTTTTTTTACATTGAAGAGAATAATTTTGAAGTATTCTCTTTTCTCATATCCCCAATACACAAGATAACAGGCTGAAACAAATCGAACAGACACAATTGTTTAATCTCACAGTTGTCTGAAAGTAATAGTAAGCAAGGGAACTTGTTTTCAATATTATCTTTTAGTTTCCCGTAGTCGAACATGGGAAAGTATACTTTCTCATTATTCAAAATGAAAAGACAATATCTACATTACAGGGTGGTATGTAGATTTATTGGGACAATGCATAAATTCCAACTCTATACTAGACTTATTAGGAAGTTTAGAATTTCATTTATTGATTAATATTAGCCTCAATTTATCACGTATCCATAGCCAGAGACATTACAAAAGTTACCCACTGAATCCTCAACATAACTTTCCAAAGTCAATTCCCTTATTCCCATATAATTATCAGTAAAACTGGAATATAAAAATTTTAAATAACTTGTATAAAGTATAGTTAGCATTGAATGCTCAGTCTGCATAATTTCTATGCTCACATCTTTCCCATTACAAATGAGTTGTCTCTCCATCTATCAAACAACTAATTCAGAGTACCTTCCACTTGTCCTTATTCACATAAAAGATACAAAGAAGGCAGACCATTGATGCTACTCGTGGAACTCGAAAGCCTGGCTTCTAAATTGCTTGCATCACTATGTATTTTCCTGTACTATATTCTGATTATCTAAAAGAATAATGCCTTATAATGAGAGGTTTGAAAATCTATCAGAAATTCGATTACTATATGTTTATGAAAAAAGGAAATAATCTGCATTTTCTTATTTCTTCAAATTCCCTGAAAATGTTGCTAGAGAAACCTCTCTACCCTAGAACTTCAGTGTGTGCACACATATGAGCATGCACACACGCAATTCTGTAATAATTTCCTTCTAGATAAAACCTTCCTTCTTGGAGGACGTTTCCTTAAGATTGGATATTCTAAGGGGACGTAAACAATAGGGAGTTCTAAAAGAAAATAAACAACTCAATAACCAGGAAGTTCACAAAATTGATCAGTTTCAAGCCCCTCCCTACCCAAGCATATATAAGCTCTGAGGACTCATAAGAGACACTCGAGTTGCCTGGAAGACTCTCAAACAAGCTGAGCCATCTGGAACAGCCAGAGAGCAACCAAGCTGTCAGGAATTAGCTCAGGTAGGTCGATCTGCCTGAAAGAGACAGTTTCCAACTTGTTATCTGCAAATTGTGGAGCCAGCTCCAGATTTCCAGCTTTCATGAGCTATCATCCATGCTCAGGTGGACTTTTGGTGGTGATGCTGTGTTTGTATCATTTCTGATCCTGTAATTAACCCCTCAATCATACTTCTGTTGGTAACCCCAATAAAATTCATTGGTTCAGCATGTTGGATTTTGATGATATTCTTACTTTGGTCTGTTGTTGAATCCTTACCTGAGGTGAGTAGATGTTTATTTACCTCTCTTCAAGAATATTGTCACACAATACACGTAGGTATAGCGAATATGGTATATGGATGACGTATCCTTTTACTCATTTTAATCTTCTACAGAGTCAGCTGTATATGCTACCAATGCACATATAAGTAAAACAAAGCAATTTAAATGTAATCCCTAGGAGACCTTGGCTAATGTAATATAGATGTAAAATATTTCTTCTAGGCAGTTTTGAGGGCAGATATATTATCTGCACTACTTGAAATAGACTAAGCCAACTTCTTACCGGGGAGTACCAACTCATAACAGCAAATCTCAGAAATGCCAAGCTTTTCATAGGAACACATTTAGCTGGCACCACAGCCTCTATTCATTGTGCTCTGGGCAGATGGGGCTACCGAATTTGCTCATGTGTCCTGGACCCATGATGATCTTCGGAGGCTTCTCAAAGGTCTCTGTGGCCCTGATCTTTTCATTGCACTTTCTACCAGTTTCTCCATCTGTACAAAGAGATCTTTCTTGTCCAGGCCTTGCTAAGTTTTGATGCTGAGGCAAATGGGCTCAGTCAGTCTCTCCAAAGCTTATACGAACTAACATTGGAAAGTTAATCACTTGGGGGCAGATCCAGGCTTTGGGAGCCTGGAACTTACTAAATGGGGAAAATGACCTTTAAAATAAAGAATAGGGCTGGAGAGATGGCTCAGTGGTTAAGAGTACTGTCTGCTCTTGCAGAGGACCTGGGTTTGATTCCCAGCATGCACATGGCAGCTTACAAACATCCCTAACTCCAGTTCCAAGGGAATTTCACACCCTCATTTGACTTCAACAGCCATTGCAGGGTGCACGTGCACTTATATATATATGTAGACAATACACACACACACACATATACACACGCACGATAAAATATTAAAAATAAAATAAAATAATATAAAATGACATATACTAAAATGAATGTTTAAAATGATAAAGCATGATTAATAAATCTTAAAGAGCTAATGCTACAAAACAAAATATTTAGAAAATTAATACAAATTCTTATTTTTATGAATTTACTGCTTTACATATATTATATGACATTACTTTTTGACAAATCTTATGCATATTTCAAGCTTGTTTATTTTCCACTACCTTCTTATATTTTGGGATAGCATGTGGCATGTTTATATAGAAAATTAATGCCATGGCCCACTGGAAGTAAAACACAGTGAGGAGATAAGTTTTCTCAGAAGCTGCTCACATACTAGGGTGTGGTTTCTTTATTATACATGGATGCATTTGAGAATAGCATAAATGTTTACTAAACTCCAAACTCTGCATATCTAGTAATGTTTCCTTCATATCATCCCTATCAACCACAAGGCTGGAGGTGGCCTGTACATCTTTGAAATGTATGAAAGAGGAAGTATATGAGAGAAAGAGAATGACAATGGCCTTACATGTGGATAAGTTAAAGCAAATTCCGTTATTAAATGTAAGTAGGCGGAATGCATATTCAGAGAGGTTAAGACAAATTGCTTCTGAGAAATTTGCCATGTATAACACTAATTCTCAAATTCATCCAATGTCCTTGGAAGGAGCCCAGAAGCTTTGACCTTGCTAGACTCACAGTGAAAATGTCTGTGTCTATAGCACTTAAAAGCATTCCTTCTGTAAAAAGGGTGCTCCTACACTCACTTTGGCAGTACATATACTAAAACAGGGCTGATACAGAGAAGATAAGCAGAATCCCTGTGTCAAGATGACACACCAGTTCCAGAAATCTTCCATATCTGTAGTAATAAGGCAGAGAGTGACAGAGCTAGACATCAAAGTTCTCCTCTGGCCTTGGTGAGTGTGGGCAGAAGCTCACAACATCACCCACACGCAAGCAGTTCCCACCCTTGATAGCACTGGTTTGTGGCTTTGCATCTTTGATTTGGGCTTCCTGTCTGTTTCAGTACATTAACCTGCAAAGTCGCAGAAGATAAGACAATTCTGTTCTGAATAAATTTTTTGGCTTTGCTTGGAAGGAGGGATACAGAAGGGAAGCTAAATGTTTTGGAAGGAATTTACAAAAAGAAGAGGAAAACAATTTGTAAAGATGACTCTGAACTGAAGAATTTGTGTGCAAATATCCTGAAGCTAAGCACAGTAAGGGCTGAGTTATCCTCTGGGTGGAGCACTCTTGTTTCCTTTAGGAAAACACAGTATATGGTGTTAGTGACTATGCATGACTACGGAACCAGAACTATAATAATTCACTGGAAGTAACACAATCTTACTAAATATTGAAACAATACTGAAAGAATATGCTCTATAGGATATGAAGGGAAAAAAATCCCTGACCAAGTTGTTTTACTAACAACCCACGTACTCCCCCCAAAAAAGTTACTAAATTTTTTCATTGTATTTCTTCATCTAGTAAATTGGGAGATTAAAACTATACAGTCTCCAACTCTTCTTGCCATTTTGAAAGTTCTATGACTGTACATCTATTTTCTCTGAATATAGTGCAATAGACTATTTTGACAACAGAATTAATATTTTCCTGGAGGTTGAAAAGTTTGGAAAGAATAATCCAACTGGAAAAGAATATTTGATAACTTCTTTATATGCTAATGGAAGTCCAAGCTCAATGATGACAATGTGCAGAGTGGAACAAAGAAAAATTCCAAAGATTCTCTTTGCAGCAAATGCCATTGGCATTTATGTAATGCAAAGGGGGGAAACAAAAAGCAAGAGACGCGATTCCCTTAGGGATTTGACATCCTGGAATTTGTATTTTTAACACGGTTTATCCTGCAAGGAGCCAATATGAAAACCTGTGTATAATTTAGAATTATTGCTCATCCCATGCATCCCTCTTTCTGGTTTGAATTACTCGGTGATGGAAAATAGAAATGGAGTGTGGGGAAATAAGAATATTTAGAGCATTCCTATTACTAATTATGTACAGCACAGTAGACAGTTGCAGATACATCACTGAAGACATATCAGGTTATCCAGCCCCACCCATCACTCAGCTTTGTCTCATTTGAGAGAATCAAGTCCTGGTACTGTCTCCAGATTAGTTTTAATAATCCAAATTGACATTGGCTTCCATTGCTTCCACTGGGAAACTAACAATTGGCTAAATTATAATATCTTTTCTCTGCATTTACTAACTGCTTAACTGCCTTATATCCAAATTTCATGTAATTACTAACAGTTGTTCACATGATCACCAAGAAGAACAGTTTAACACAATAACCCAAAATAATTTAGCACCTGCTTATGATACCATCTGGTGTCCTGCCTACAATTTCTGAATATGCCCACTGTGCCCTAAAGGCATCCTTAATCTTGGCCTGGAAGCTTCTTGTATTTGACTCTTTATGACATTCTAGTCTATTGATGCATTTTCCATATTAATCATATTTGACTTCACTTTTTTTTGAGTAAATGTCCATTTCCTCTCAAGTCCTTGTCAATTGTTTTATGTTATCCTTAATCTGTTTTTATTCTTCTAATATGTTTGTAATATACACATAACACATCCAGGCTGCTGTCCTCCTTCTTGAGCAGGGCAGGTGGCCCAGTGTGTTAAAAGCACTCTAGTCTGAAGTAGAGAGAGGGCAGAGTCATTTCTCAGCTTGAGGAAATCACTTTGCTTTGAAAAGGGCAACCACATTCATTTCTTTGCAGGCTTAGGGCTATTTGATGAGGATGAATCCTTTCCCAAAGATACATGTTACAGGCAGTATCACAGGTGAGGAATTTCTGGTACCAAGAAGAAATTGGAAGGCTAGAGCAAGAGGTGAGGGAACAAGGGTAGTGTTTCTCTTCCTTTTTTTCTGTGGAGAGCATCCTTGGCAGCATCTGAGTTCCACAGCTCCGAGCCCTCTGGCCTCAGCACCTTACACACTGTACCATTATTCGTTACTACTTCAGGTACTTCAGATCTAGGCTCCATAGATAATGCTTCTTGGAGTTGTCCCTGGCCTGGTAGTGGCTTTCTCAGGTGGTAATCCAACAGGCGAGTGGCTTAATCTCTGGTTGGCTTCACTATCTCCTTAGGTTTTCTGTCACTATTATTTCCTGAATTCACTGTGTTCTTTTAAAAAGCCAGAATGGTTTTGCTTACATAGTTCCAGTGTGCAGACACAATTCTTGTGTATAGGGCATCTTCCCAGGAAAAAAAGCTTCAAGGAAGGATTGTGGCTTTCATTTCACAGCATAAGAGTAGGAATGACCTGTTTTCAGGAAGAAAGGGGAACTTTAGTAATTCATAACATGCTGTAGCATTGTAAATACTTGGGTTATCAAGACTCTAAGAAATTCATAATATGCTTCACTCTGCTCCTGTAACAGTGACAGTAATTAGAAATTTGATGGTTTGGGGAAAGTATTTGAGGTAGCACTAAAAGACATCAAAGTGCGAAAAATCAACTCAAAGCTTTTCATACTCAGTTTAAATCACAGATAGAACTGAACTATATGGCAGTATTACGTGATCTTTAAAGTGTACTATAGATATTGGGCAGTATGTCAGAAGATCAAGCCTAAAGTTTTATGGTACAATTTGGAGAATTTTGAAGCACATTGACTATATAACTTTGCTAAATTCATCTGTTCGTGTTAGAGGATTAGTGAGAAACCAGTGCTTTTCTCATACATAGAAACAAACACTTGATTATTAGCAGAAAAAGATAAAGACACTGAACTCTTATAATGAATTGAACCTTATAATTGCTCCCCCAACTTTGTCTTCCAATTAAAACAATCCCTATCTTCTTTTTTGAAGTGTTTACTTATTTCAGGATTATTTCTAGATCTTTTCATTACCTTCATAAACCCCAAACTAGAGTCAGATCCCAATAACATTCCTGGAGAACGAGTAGTTACTCTAGGGAAAGACAGCATATGTATAGCACAAAGATTGTAAAAACTTGCTCATACTTATACATTGAAGCCTACAGATCACCTACACAGACTAAGCAGTTTAGACTAAGAAGTTCAGTATAAAATTATTTTGGTATCTCTGTTGGAATCAGCATTAAATGTACTAAAGTGGATCAGAAGAAATGGCCCCAACAGCTTGCTTGGGTGACTGACCACAATAAGAGTTTTAAAGGGTATCTCAATGATGCCAGAATTTCCCTCTAATTATTTAGAAGAAGGGATATAACAGACACACAAAATTGACAATGTTAGAAAAAATTATTGTGTACAACTTGCTTTGTTTCCCTCTGAAAATATTTGCATAGTAGTTATAGAAAACAGTACTACCCTTGGGGCATTGAGAAATGTTTTCTGAGGGAATTATCAGCCTCCTCAAGAACCTAGTGCTCACTAGCAGTCTAGAGACAGTATTGAGAATTGACATCTTGAAAGTAGCCTATATAATTTAAACAGTAATTGTGGGGTCACATAATGATAGAGGCCAATAATAGATAAGGATAGGTCATTTACAAAAACACCAT